ATAGGAAAAGCTGAGCAGAACGATGACCGAGAATGAAACGAGACCACCAATCCATAATTCACCCTCGCCAATCAAGTCTGCTTGTTTCAATATCATTATTATTGTTTCTCGTGCACGTTCGCTTTCTGCATGTTTGATTCTGTATTTCAATAACGCAATAGTAATCATGACGATAAGAGCCAAAATAGCAACAATAATCGCCCAGAACAGCGGCGAAACGACAACGCAATGTGCAGTTGTGCCGATCCCAAATACATTTACTAACAAAATATCATCAAATCCCGTCAGTTCGGGTGATTCTGGATAAGCCAGTGCTTGAATAACGGCATTCAACGAACTCAGATCGATATCACTCGATGAACCGAGAGGACAAAATGTGTTTGCGGCACACGAACTACACGACGTACTCGAATTCCCCGGATTTTTCGTGGCTGTTGGACATAGTGAACACGGATGAATATTCGACACATTCTTATACGTGCCGACGATGCATGGTGTTGCCGTTGAAAATGCCGGATTACTTTGTTCATCAGAGCCCGTTGTCGACGGATACGTGCCAGCGGGTGATGATAGAATCACAAAAATGTTTCCGTAAACGTCGACAAAGGCAAGATTGACAGGCGTTGATACAACGTTCAACAGCGTGGGTGACATGTTTTCGGATAATGCTTGTTGACTATTAGGAAATATAGCAACTGGGGACGATGCGTTGGTGAACGAGTCGTAGACAAAGATGCGTGATGATGACCACGTGTACGAGAATGAATAGACGTTCGCCAGAATGGCCACTGAACTACCACTATAATCAAGCCAAGCAACCTCTTTGCCGAAACCCCATGATTTGCCGGTATCTTGAGAAGCAATTTGTGTGAGTGTTGTCAACGAGCTCGATACAGAGAACAAGAAAACAGTGTTCATTGATTGAATGCCGACCAATACCTGACGGGCATCGTTGAGCTTCACACTCATCGAATATTTCGCGGCAAATACGTCGGCTCCCACATTTGTTTGTCCACTTTGCCACGTGCCATTGACAGAATATTGCCAAACAGCACTCACACTCGGCGCTGCACTGATATTGACAGCGAACAAATACACAATTGGTTTGAATTTGACGCGGGAGTTTCGGCCGTTATCAACGAAACCGACGATAACTCCGTAGCTTTGATGATAGTCAACGGCATGCGGCATGAACGTCGTATTTGGCCAGGAAATGTTACCCGGCCAAACGTTGAGACTGTTCGGTGATGTATTGAAAGTACACGAGAACAAATTCGAGAAACAGAATGCTGTTGAACCGGTGACATCTGCTGTCAATGTGAGATAGTCTTGATGGGGATACGCCGTCGGAATATATTGTATATTATACTCGTATTCACTAGCCCTACAATCAATATCTGGAATTGAACCGTGATAGGTGAATGTACCGACAAATGTTCGATTTTCAACCGGATCGTTCTGATCGATGTCCGTCGTTTCGCCAATGAAGAAAAATTGCGCCGCTGTTTGATTTCGTCCAACGGTCACTGTGTAAACATATTGTGATGCATCGAATTCAACCACACATGATTGTTCGAATTGGGTCGCATTGTTGTAATACGGCGCAAATTGAATCCAAAACTCATTATATGTATTTTGTACTTCAACAATGAGTACTTCATTTGCTGCTACTTTAGCACCATATAAATCGAAATCATCTGTGTCCGGATTAAAGTTTTGTGCTTGGACACTCGAGACGAGCGCCAATAACAAAAGTAATGAATATCGAAGCCACATTTTATTAAACTAGTAAAATTGTGGTCTCCTCCCTCAGTTTGTGCGCAAGAATCATTAGCGATCTTGAATCCAGTAGGAAGAAGTGACGGAAAAAAGGTTATTATTCATTCTATCGCAAAAAATATCAGCTTCAGCGTTCTTGTTTATTTTCAAAAAAGAGAAATTTCTCTCTTTCCTTTTTCCTTCTCTCCCTGTTAATCATATTCTCGAAATTCATTTTACACATATTTAATGTAAAAAAGATACGCTTTTGGTTGTTAGAAACATCGTTTTGACCTAAATGTTATTCTTGTTTCTTCTGTTCAATATCATCTTCGATTCACAAATCCATTGCTGAAAGGACTTTTCTTATTACCGAAAACTATGTTTCTACAATACAAAGTCGACCAAGAAGGGAAACCGAGTATATGGCGTCAGAAGCCAGCATCAGTAGATTACCCCTCATCGATTGCCTATAACGCCAAGTTTCCGTCTACTAAACAGATGTATTCCAAGACTTATTCGATTTTCTTTGTTCCACAACGAGGCACGAACGCTATTTTATTTTCACAATTTTTCGTAAATACTGGTGTAACCTCTTCTGCAAACTGTCTGTGAAAGAACTGACTTTGTCTCATAGATCGAATTTTAAATATCGGCATATAAGCTAGCCAAACGTTTCACGATGCAGTTTCAAGAGAATGTTTTTGTCCGTAGAATAAACCAGTTATAAAATATGTTCAGCAGGGATCATGGCGACCTCAGTTTGTCGATCTAAACTTTGCGTCGAAGCCATTATTTATCTCTCAGAATAAGAAAAATCATAGACAGGAACTACACGATGAACAAAAGTCGATAATGTTGCTGCAAACTAAATCGTTCGACTTTATATTTCACGCTGAAGCCGAACAGCACGTTTATTTTGCCTGAAATCCACTATTTGTGTGAAACGGCTCGATTTCGTCAAATTCTCACTTCCACTGTCAGCGTGAGTTTTCGAGATGGTTGTGACCCATTTAAAACTTTTAAAATTAGTCTGCTTCGACGAAGAAAACGAACTGTACGAACATGACAATAGATGGGTGCTGTTGTACTATCATCAGCATGGAAGGCAAGCAACCGGTCTCATTAACAAAGTCATTTGACTGATGTTATTAAATAATGTTTATTTGCTCTAGGAATCAGAACCGAACCTTTCGATATATAATCTAAACATCTACACGTGTCTTTCTATTCATTCGGCTTTGAGTTATTTCGTTTATTAATTTAATCAGCATCTCTTTTATTAACTTTTCTGTTTTTCATATCATGGCACGCACGCACAGTCATTCGCTCGAAAAAATAAGAACAGGCGGTCGTATGCAAGAGAGAACTGAGTCGTTTATTTGATTTCAAAGACTGATTAGCCACCGTTTTCACTTTTATTAGAATAAAAGCACTTCAGGGTATCTAGATAAAACAAACAAACACTTAAAAATCTATAAAAAAAATGTTTGCATTCAATTTCTCTAGTCATACACGTTTGTTTTCGAATCGTCAAATGTGTATCCCCAAATATTATATATTCATAAGTAGAAAAGATGCCAATTGAATCTTGTTGTGACTAAAACATTTATAAAATTGAGTAAACGCTTTTTTAAAAAACAAAATCCGCCTTTTCTCTTTACTGGATGGATCATACATGTAAAATGACTGTGCATGTGTGTCACGATGTGGAAAAAAGAAAAGCGAATAAAAATATTTTTATATACTTTCTGCATGAGTAGAGAAATTGAATACAAAAA